ACAGACTTTTCATTAAGACCCTAAAGAATCATATCAACTTGTGGAAAATGGGCATCCTATGACCCCTTTAAGTGAAATTGTACTTTATTTGTTAATAGTGTTTATGTTTTTGATTAGATTGTTTTCTTAAATAGTTCTATTTAGCTTTATTTTATTTTTATTTCAGATTTATAATCAATTAAATTTTAAATTTATAACTAAAATAAATTTTAGTAACAGTAATCAGTTAGTTGCCAAGGCAACATTTCTAATGTTCATTTAATCTAATTACTATTATTATTTTACTATTACTATTTATTTCAGCTTTATTTAAATGAATGAAAACAATTTGTATTAAATTATTAACTAAAATATTAAAGAATAAATATTAAAACAATACTTTTTAGTTGTAATATTTTAAGTTTAAGTAAACAATAACAACACTTAAATTGTCTCTAGACAAAAAAAAATTACAAAATTGTATTGGACTGTATAATGATTCTCAATTCATTTATTTTTGTATACAAACATATATATATATATATATATATATTCTCTTCTGTTGTCTTTAGTAGAAGATGGAGGAGAGGAGGATGAGAGACTGCTGCAGAATGGGAAAGACAGAGGTATAACCCATCACATCAGAACTACGTTTCCCAGAATGCATCTGTGCTCCTGAATGCAGACCTCTTTCAGTCGCTCTGGTTACATGAACATCAATGATTTCATTAGATTAATCCTCTCTGCACACAACAAAAGCTCATAATGTTTTACGGGGCGGGTGTGTGTGTGTGTGTGTGTGTGTGTCTATCTGAGGGGGCTCGTTAGTGCTTAATTACTCGTTAGTATTAACGAGGAGGCTGTTTACGAGTGTGTGGAGGGGTGCTGGATGTTTTTTTAACTACTTCCTGTAGGGTCAGAGGGGTCCAGCACACTGAACCTTTATGAGCCGAACCCGTACTGGGAAACACCTTCATTATAGCGCTCGTTCTTTCTCTTTCTTCGCTGTGTTCATTCATCTCCCCATCCAGCTCCGCTGCTCATGTTTTATTGGTCTGCTTCTGATGGCCTTTCTCTGCTAGTTTCAGACGCCATCACTCAAATTAGGCTCTGAGCAGAAGTTTGCTCAAAATTGCTGTAGCTGGAATCGTTTCCCGAGTTAATATTTTCTGGAGAGCAGCACTTAAAACATGCCTCTGGTAAAATGCACTAATGACCCCCCGACCCCTGACCCCATCAGCACCAGTTCTCACACAGATACACACACACACACACAGACACACGCACAATGTACCCAAGCACAAACAGAATGTGTTGTGCGCTCATGCATAAAGGCTTATGCTGGGAGTGTGTGTGTGTGTGTGTGTGTGTGTGTGTGTGTGTGTGTCTGACGTGTGTCTGCGCTGTCTGAGGGGGCTCGTTAATGCTTAATTACTCGTTAGTATTAACGAGGAGGCTGTTTACGAGTGTGTGGAGGGGTGCTGGATGTTTTTTTAACCACTTCCAGTAGGGTCAGAGGGGTCCTGCGCACTGAACCTTTATGAGCCGAACCCGTACTAGGAAACACTTTCATTATATCACTCGTTCTTTCTCTTTCTTTGCTGTGTTCATTCATCTCTCCATCCAGCTCCACCGCTCATGTTTTATTGGTCTGCTTCTGATGGCCTTTCTCTGCTAGTTTCAGAGGCCATCACTCAAAATTAGACTGAGCAGAAGTTTGCTCAAAATTGCTGTAGCTAGAATCATTTCCTGAGTGAATATTTTCTGGAGAGCAGCACTTAAAACAGGCCTCTGGTAAAATGTCCTAATGACTTATACTTACGGTATCTTGCATCAGCAGGCTCATTTCATTTTGAAAGCATTAATTTGAAATAAATGTCTCAAGACAAAAAAAAAAGTTACAAAATTGTATTGGAGCATCTCAAGCTAAATGAATAGAGACTTTAAACTTGATATTTCTGTGAATATCCATTTTTCAATTATCAGTTGTTATTTTATACACACACATACCATTCAAGATTTTTTATGTTTTTAAAAATGTCTCTAATGCTCACCAAGGCTGCATTTATTTGACTAAAAATACAGTAAAAATAGTAATAATGTGAAATATTATTACAATTTAAAATAACTGTTTTCTATTTGAATATATGTTAACATGTAATTTATTCCTGTGATCAAAGCTGAATTTTCAGCATAATTACTCCAGTCTTCAGTGTCACATGATCCTTCAGAAATCATTCTGATATGCTGTTTTGCTGCTCAAGAAACATTTCTGATTATTATCAATGTTGAAAACAGTTATGCTGCTTAATAGTTTTGTGGAAACCATGATACTTTATTTTCAGGATTCTTTAAAAAAAATAGAAGGTTTAAAAGAACAGCATTAATTTGATATAGGAATATTTTGTAAGATTATAAATATCTTTACTGTCAATTTTGATCAATTTAATGCGTCCTTGATGAATAAAAGTAATTATTTATAAATATATATATATATTATTGACCTCAAAATCTCAGCAATCACAGTTGGGAACATTAAATACATAAAGAAAAAAATTACTGTATTTTTAAAGTGTTAATGTTTTAAGGTGTTAATTTTTGTCATTATTTATGGATATGATAACGAGGGACACAAAAGTCAGCTGTTTTATATACACAGTTGTTCTACACTGCATTAAAAGTGTAGTAGGTCTGTTCAGTTAAAAACACTGTGTAGGTTAAACAAAGGTTAGGAGATTATCTACTCAGTTAGTTACTGTACTGAGCTGAAGCAGCTTTACTAATTCGAGATAAGAGTATTAATGGATCCCCAGAGACCTCCAGACAACATCTCTGTGTCTGAATATTGCAGCTTTTATGGTATGTTAACAGACATCTCATGCAAGATATTTTCTTTATTAACCCTGTAAAGCCTACTGTATCTTATTTGATATTTCAAATTTCTAAGGCCTTTAAATGATCAACATGATCAAAACTGCTGCATCTGCTACATGCCTTCTGTGGCCTGACTGATAGTTTATACATTTGTTAGCAAGTAAAAAAGCATTTTAGTCCATCTTCAGGTCACGGTTCATGTGTCTTCTTGCTTTGAAATCTTTAATGATTTTTATAAAGCAAGCATAAGAATAACTTTTACATTGTTAGTGATGTTAGTATTGAACACTTGACTGAAGCAACTTAGGTTTACTTGATTATCCATGCATATCTTTTTATAAGAATCATGTTAAAAATGTTCTGAGATCTTCAGGCTTTTGAGGAACGTTTATTTGTCAATCTCTCAATCTCTCAATCATCATTGTATTGCATTGCATCATATGTTTTGAAACTACAGCACTTTGATCATAAAGCTAAACATTTAAATTACATCTCACTAAGACATATTATACAGAGCTATAGAGTAACAAACTGATATTTATATGCATTTTATGTAAGTAGTCTGTTATACTTTTGTAAAGATCATTGATTTACATTACAAGCTATCAGAGTTTCATGTTACTTTTTGGCATTTAAATATCAGCACCTTCACCGAAGTGTATATTTTTGCTCAGTTTGCACTCCATATTCTCACTATATCATATTATATGAGCCATAAAAACCTGATGTGTCAAATATGACAAAACGTAAAACATGCAATTTTTTTTTTCATTTTGTCTAGAGGTTTAATATACTGTTCTATTTCAGAAAATGAGATCTTGAAGAATATTATTTCATATGTCAGGCTTTACTGGTTAAAGTGAGTCTTTGACTTTAAAATGACAATTTAGTATTTTTGTTTTCCAGGTTAAGCCAAATATGAAGCAAGCAGTGCCATGTGAGTATTACACAGCATTATATCTGTAGGGGTGTTGCTTTGTTCATTTTGAATGTTCAAATTAATATTTTTTTTTGCATTATTTCAGGTGTGGGTCACCATGCAAACGCATCATCACCACAAAGACAATGACCTCTGAACCCAGACTCAGCCAATCAGCGAGAGGTCAGGGATTTGAGTTCCTGTGGATTGCTTGAGAAGGAAAATGTTTTGTTGTTTTCAATGTTTCTTTGTTTTGAGATAGAGATGCAGGTTTAAGGGGTCTGTGTTGCAGACCTGCTAATTTGACTAGCTATGCTCGTTTGATTTTGTAGCTGATTTTGTTCAAGTTTGAAAGCTTTTGATGCACCCAAAGATGTGTCAGATCTGTCGAGAACGAGACCGAGGTGGGAACGGAACGCAATAGAAAGTGATGCATGATTGAAGGACGAGCGTGACGAGTTGACTGGCTGGCTGAGGTATGTGGGCGTGGCTTGCTCGATGTGGGTGTGGTCATGTTGATTTCGAGGACGCAGTTGCTGCGAATGCAGTATAAAGACCTTCCAAAGGAACTAAATGAAAGAAAAGGGTCAAGTTCAGTACTGTAATTTATTTTCAATTCAATTTTTTTTTTTTTTTTCAGTAGCGGACAGCATTTTTAGCAGCTTTTCGGTGTACATTTGCGGAAATATTTTAGTCATTTCAAATACTCGATTTCAGATTTTCAAGTCTGATACAGCATTTATGTATATTTAAGATCAAATTTATTTAGTTTTATAGATTTTCGAACTGGTACTATAATAAAGAGGCGGATTATGTACTGTGCTTCTATTACTGGATTAAATTAACATTGTTAATTTTGTTGATTTTTTTTCTAGAAGCACTGTTTGTAGTCAATATTTCCTGTGAACGGACATTTCTTACCTACAAACATTGCACACACACGTCTGATCTGCTGTGTGTTTTTCTCGAGGTGTGTGTGTATTTGTGTGCCTCTATAATTGTGTGTTTGTGCAAAGCTGCAATGTGAATCAAATTGATGCCTTTATTTCATTGTAATCTTAAATATCTGCCAAAAATGACTTGTTGATTTAGTTTTTTTGAAGTCTTTCATCTTGTTATTTACTCCTATAAAAATTTGCTGTGTTTTTTGTGACACATTTGTTTCTGGACCTCTGCGTCATGTGATTCTACCTGTGGTACACGAGGTTTAATGACATCACTTCCTGTGCCCTTCGGGTCAAGAGCTCTTCTGTGAAAGCTGGCTGGTTTGGTGGAGGCGATCATTACGGTGCCGGTTGCTGCAGTGTTTCGCTCTGTCCACCAAACAAATTTTTCATATTTTTTAAGAAGCAAATTTTGCAGAAATGAGGCCGTGATTTACACGCATGTGATTTCAAGTGATGATTTGTTGTGTTCAGAATAAATGATATTATGAAAACAAACAAAAAAAGACTGGAGTATTATAATTTTTTCTTTAAAGCTTTTCTTCCTTTAATATAGAAGCCCGTTTCCACCACGGAATAAAAAAAATAAATAAATACTTATCACATTTTTTTTCTTCTTCTAACAATTCTAAGAAAAAAATCAGAATTGTGAAAAATAAACTCGGAATTGAGATTCACTCAAGGACACCATTCCTCGTCTGTCTCTCTCTCTTACAGTTATATTATTCTGTGTTTGGCCCTTTGCAGAGGTCAAGTCCCCTAAAAAAAAAAAACGGTGGTGCCATGGTACAATGATGTATCAGATGTTAATACTATGGTATTTTGGTGTATACAATGGTACTACAATTAGCATCTTTAAAGTACTTTAAAGAACACCATGATAAATGTGGAAAAATTACACACACGCACACACACACATATATATATATATGTGAGTGTGTGTGTATCTTACCACAAACTTTTGAAAGGTATAATGATTTCCACAAATATTAAGCAGTAAAAACTTTTTCTAATATATTAAAGTAGAAAACAGTTGTTTTACATTGTAATAATATTGATCAATAATACAGTTTACTGTATTTTTCATCAAATACTTTTAAGTTTTTTATTTCTTTCAAAAACTTAAAAAACCACAATTATTCCTTATTTATTTATCACTGAAAAAAACACAATTTGACAACATGACAAAATGAGTTACAGGAAACAACCAAAGGCACATACCAAACTAATCAAAAAAACAAAAAACAGTAAATGAATAGTAGGCCTACATAAATATAGTATATAAGAGAGAGTGAGTGTGTGTGTAGGCTATGCGTGTATATAGATCGATAGATAGATAGAATGTATAGGTACAATGATATAGATATATAGATATAGTAATGTATATGTACAATGATAAATGTAGGCAATATATTATTATTAATTTACATTTTTATCTGGTAATGTTGTAAATCAAGCAAAAAAGAATTTAGGTACACTATATATTTTATTTTAATTTGAACAATGTATTGTTAGCCCTCCTTATATTGCTTGTAATTACTAGCTGAAGAGACCCTAACTGACCTTATAAAGTGCTTACAAGGAGCTGTAAAATCAAGCTGTAGCAACCAAAATGTAAGTAAAACAAGAACATAACACAGATATATTTAATCAGACGGTAAAGCAAGTTCATATAATGCCTGAAAAAAAAATCACGTGCTTAATCGATCTCCCTGTGACGTCACTGGTGATCCAGATGTAACGGGCTCTAGGACCCCGCGAACTCCTTCCAGCTGACGGGCCTCTGCGGCGTCTGAGAGCCCGAGACGGCGGAGCGGAGCAGGCCGGTGCCGGGGAGGGTCAGGACGGGGAGAGACGCGGAGGGAAGACGGGCAGTGCGCGACCACCGGAGGGTTCAGGCCCGGGGCTGCATGGCGAAACGGGTAATTCACACAGATATACATACACACACCGAGATTCTCTCTGACATATGAGGATGAGGATGGTGGTGGTGGTGAAGATGATGAATTCAGATCTGCGCAGATGTGCGTTTTAAAATCCAGCAGCTGCTGCGTTTTCCATCTGTCCGCTCGCGTGAGTTCATATGACATGTTAATTCAGTTCAAGCTCGCGGTAGTGAAATGAATGTGTGAATGAAGCGAGCTGAAATCTGTCGACCGCCATATAACACATCATCATCATCATCATCATCATCAGGATGTAATGCAATATCTATCAATAACTTTGACTTTATCGCAACTTCGATTGTAACTATTCCTCTTACGTGAGAAACGAAGGTTACAAATCATTTAAGCCTTTATTGTAAGGAAGACGAAGCTGTTCTGGTTGATCTTGAGATGTTAATTCTGTGAGGCCTCTTTCAGGATTATTTGTGCAAATAGGCCTATTATGTATTGCAAAATATGTAATACTCATTGGTTTTTGATGTTGTTGGGGTTTTAAATATCTAAAGATTTATTTAGAAAGCATGAAAGCTCTTGACCTATATTAGTGTATTATAGGCTCATGGTGTCTCCACTGTATCATTAACTGTAATTAAATATGCGCTTTTGAATTTATTGTGTTTATTCATGAAGGTCTGTCCATTCTAAACACACCTGTGTCAGGTGTCATGGGTTTCACTGGCTGTGTGACCCGCAGCAGGTCATACTTCTTCTGATGACACTGTCATTCAACTTTATAAACACCTTGAGCTCTTCTTAAATGCTCAAAACCAAATAAATAAAAATTACAGTAAAGGAGAACAAAAAATAGAAAGTATAGCTGGTGCTTAAAAATGTTGATCTGAAGAACCTGTAACATCAAAAACTTTGTCTACAAAGAGTAAAATACAGTTAATTTTTTATTTATTCATTTGTTTGATAAGAAGATGATTCTGTGCTGAACCTGAAGGTGTTGCAAAACCTTTTTTTGTAAGAGTGTATTCTGGATTTTCCACATTAGGCCTTTAATTTCTTCCACTTACTCATTGTTTAACACCAGAAACGCCCTGTTGTGTGTCTATAGATCTAAAATAGAGGTCAGGCCGAATTTCCTTTTTCCTAATGGTTCAGTGTTTAAAAATACTTAAGTTCCATTGAAATAGATAATGAATCAAATCATAATGTAGTTTTTAAAATACGAAATCGTATTTTAAACCTGTTGTTTTTGTATTTTAGTCTTAAATTTCGCGATATTTCTACTTTTAACTAATTTCTGTCAACTAATGATCTGTCAAGCATTATACAATGTAGTGGTATTCTCAATAAAATATAGGCTATTTAAAGATTTCTTGAAGATCAGTCTTGGCAGAAATATTGAGTCCGTAAAGGTCGTGTTGAGAAAGGCTTCGACACATCACGGCTATCAAATAAAAAGAGCAGTTTTTACAGATGACCAGCGAATCTGGTTTAAATTGAAACGTCGTCTTTTACATTCACGTGTTGTTACGGCAATTTTGCGTGCGGGAGTTTCTTCCCAATTTCTCCTCAAATCCCATTTTCCGTGAATAAGATGACAGCAAAGGCATTTCGCTCTTCATTTGACTGATGTTCTAATGATATGTCGGAGCTTTTGGAACGAGATTAGGTGAAAATGAACGAGATGTTATAAATAAACGAGAAATGCGCTCATTTTTCCAGTGCGTCATGGAATTGACGCCTGTGTGGACGCGACGCGGCCGCGTTATAAAGCGCAAAGGCAAACTGGCAGGGATTCAGACGCCCGCCATGTTACAGACTTTCCACATTAAACCACAAACTGGCTGCTGTTTGTCTTCTGTGGACACAAATCAAGTCTTTTTTACTGACTGTCGTGATGTGATAAGACAATATTGCCTCGTTTTATAATGAGGGAAACATTATAGACACTTGTTTCCTCTTGTGCTTTTACAAAATGTGTCGCCTTTCATAGACTTAGGAAAAAATAATCAGATTTGCTACAACCTAATTAAGTAAATATCTATTTTACTCCAGAAATAAATGAATACGGTCGTTGTTGTGTTTGGTTTCGCAGGGAGAAGGAGGATTTGATGGTCTGAAGGTGGATCAGTTTCATCGCCACAATAGTCCATCAGCATTTTAATGTCTTTTGTTTCATTTGCGTTGATTTCAAATGCATCGATCAGGCCAGTAGTGTTTTTGTTTCATCATGCCTCTCGATCTGGACAGTGACGCAGCGGCGAACAAAACGGTAAGAGCCATTCGTTTCGTCACATTGTGTGTGTGTGTGTGTGTGTGTGTGTGTGTGTGTGTGTGTGTGCGCGGGGGAACCGTGTGGAAGCCGCCAGACACGAGCAAAGTGAGAAGGTCAAACCAGGCTGCGAGTAAAACACACCTCCTTACCGCGTCTAGACAAAACTAGGCTTATGCGTTAATCTGAATTCGTTGAATATGACGCGTCGTTCTCGAGAATGAACGAGTGAAACTCCTGCGGCGAATAGAACGGCTTACAGTTAATGAAAAGTGCTTCTAGATTGGAACAGCACACCTTCTTTAACGCTGTAACATCTGTACACCACCTTTCGTTGATGTAAAAACATGTCCCACTGCCGCGCGATTTGAACTAACAAAAACAGTACAAACACTGGAGAACCAAACACTGAGGCTGCCGTCTGCGGCGCCATCGCATAGCATCATTTTGACGCGTCACTGGCATGCAGGGTTGATATGGTTTTACAGTATAGGCTATGAACTAAACGACTAGTTGAAAAGAAACTTAACTATTGAGAAAACAAATACTCTTTATTCACAACATATAATGAAATACTTTCATTTCTGTGTACTTACTTAGTTTATAGCCTATAAATATATTATATGAATTATGATATGAACACATCTTGATTTTATAGCGTATATAAGCTGCAAAAGAATCAACGAAGCGTTTGTCGATTATAACGGAGCCTTTTTTGCGTAACTTGTCGCTCGATTGTAGAATAAACGCGGTGTTAAAGGATTAGTAAACTTCCAGAATAAAAATTTCCTGATAATTTACTCGCCCCCATGTCATCCAAGATGTTAATGTCTTTCTGTCTTCATTCGTAAAGAAATTAGGGTTTTTGAGGAAAACATTCCAGGATTTTTCTCCATATAATGGACTTCAATGGTGGCCAACGGGCTGAAGGTCCAAACTGCAGTTTCAGTGCAGCTTCAAAGGGCTCGACACGATCCCAGCCGAGGAATAAGGGTCTTATTTAGCGAAACAATCTGTCATTTTCTTAAAAAAAGAAAAAATTATATACTTTTTAACCACAAGTGCACTAGCACTTGCACTAGCTTGACTTCACGCATTACGTAGTCACGTTAGAATTGTCACGCGTGAGGTAGGCGGAAGTACCGACCCAGTGTTTACAAAGCCAACGTGCAAAGAAAGTCAAATGCCCTTTACAAAAAACGGTAAAACAACGATGATGGACGATTTTGAAGTTTTTCACCCTACACTACCTTTTTGAACCGGAGTACACAGACAAAGAGCTGACCGCGCGTGACCTTTCCAAGGTGATTATGTAATGTGTGAATTTGTGGACGTGCATCGCAGAGCTAGTGCAAGACATGCATTTATGGTTAAAAAGTATATGATTTTTTTTTTTAATAAAGTGACCGATTGTTTCGCTAGGTAAGACCTTTATTCCTCGGCTGGGATCGTGTAGAGCCCTTTGAAGCTGCACCGAAACTGCAATTTAGGGTTAGGGGTTAACCTTTAGTCCGTTGGCCACCATTGAAGTCCATTATATGGAGAAAAATCCTGGAATGTTTTTCTCAAAAATCTTAATTTCTTCAGGACTGAAGAAAGAAAGACATAAATATCTTGGATGACATGGGGGTGAGTAAATTATCTGGAAATGTTTATTCTGAAAGTGAACTAATCCTTTAATGAACACAAAATGATGTTTGGAAGTTGTTAAACAATAACAAAACTGAAATACCCTCATAATAGACAATATATTAAAGGCTTTCCCATCTCATTAGATACATATTTACGTATTGCATAAATAAGATGAGTAAGTTTTACCAGAATGTCATGGCATGAATGTTTCAGATTGCATTAAAGCTCAAGTACACAAGTAGCCTAACGTTACATGAACACAAACACTTCTGTATGCAATCTAAGTAGGTGTTTCATTCTCACAATTGCCACAAGAGGCCAATATTAACTCAAATTAGCATAATATTTTTTTCTTTTGTATTCTGATTTTTTATGCTTTACACTTTAATTAGACTATGTACAACACATAGGCCTATGTCCATTACGTCTGTGCGTGCATACATGCGCAAAATATTATTGCCTAAAAGTGACAAAAACCACAAAGCTTATAAGATATATTAACAAAAATATCTTACTTATATATTATAGCTGTACCTTAAGGTTATGTATTTGTAGTTATGTATGCCATCCGCGCAGCAATAATCTAATATTTTTGCTTTAATTTGATATTATTGTAGCATTTTTTTGTGTGTGTTATACCCGTGTGGGGCCCTGTGATGACAGAACTAACTCATTTAAACTAATAAAATCTCACCTCTGTGCTAGTCAAATGTTCTCTTTAACTGAAATGGCCCATCTGTGGAATCAGTAGGTGAAATAACCACATGGATGATTAGTGAAACTCATTAAAATCACTGATGAGCATTAACCTGGAACCCATCAGCGAGAGAGAGAGAGATTTTACAGTCCTACTGACCTCAGGAATCTCAACAGAACTGCTGCAGTGTCATTGAGGTTAAGACTGTGGGTGTGTAGGAACGCTCTAGTAACTCTCTAACTCTTCATTTTCCTGCTCCGCTCCTCTTAGTTTAATGGCCGTTCAGTTATTATAAATCTGTTTTCAGATGTTGGAGCAGCTCACAGCCATGGTAGTTTATGTATACACTGGCCTTACAGTGTTCAGAAAGCCTTGTTGATTTATGCAGCCTGAAGTCATGTGAGGTGAGGCAAGTGGTAGATTTTCATGTAACATCGTAGGTGAATTGTTTTTTAACAGTGTATTTTATGGTGAAAACAATCAGTTTACACCTAAATCTAGACAAAAGTTCTCATATGAGCTATTTACAACCTAAAAATCTGTGTTAATGTGTACTGAAAAAAGCATTTTATTACAGTTTGTGTTAGCGGGGTGAGCTGGTTAACTAGTGTTTTCATTGGTTTTCATTAACTTTGCACCAACTTTGGTCTGTTGAGCAGGTGAATCAGTTACTAGAGCTTTAGTAATCGATCTTGAACAGGGCAAAAGGTGTGTTTGAGATCTTGGATGTGTGTGTGTTGTTTGTGGTGGATTTTATTGCTCTGCTCATTCAGATGTCCTCCGTGAACCCAGCTGAAGTTATTTATTGGCTGATATAGTATTTATGGCAGTGATCAGATCAGTGTTTGCTTTGGCAGAGACAATCTACCCATTTAAATGCTTGTGCTTGCAAAACAGGAGCACACGAGCATTCAACGTATGTCCTCGATATGCTTTATTATGTAGTTTACACATTTGTGTTCTTATATATTGTGAATGCTAATAATAGGTTTTCACATGAGGATTTTAAAACGATTGGAATGCATGGCTCTGACCTTCAGTTTTTTATATATTGGACGTTGAACATTGTGGAATTATTTTAATTATGGTACTTCGATTTTTTGATAAAGCAAGTAATTATTTCTAAATATTATAATTTATTAAATTTTTATATGTTGTTTTATTGATTTAATTTGGTGTCTATATTAGGACAGTGTGCAGGTGTATTTTCTTCAGTCATTTCAGCCTTTATACAGGTGCATCTCAATAAATTAGAATGTCATGGAAAAGTTAATTTATTTCAAAGGCTGCATTTATTTGATCAAAAATACAGAAAAAACAGTAATCTGTGAAAAATGTTATTACGATATAAAATAATGGATTGAGTACATGTACAGTAAATGAACATACTTTCCAGAAGGCCAACAATTCACTAAAAATGATTTTTTTATTGGTCTTATGAAGTATTCTAATTTGTTGAGATAGTGAATTGGTGGGTTTTTGTTAAATGTGAGATAAAATCATCACAATTAAATGAACCAAAGACTTAAACTACTTCAGTCTGTGTGCACTGAATTTATTTAATACACGAGTTTCACAATTTGAGTTGAATTACTGAAATAAATGAACTTTTCCACGACATTCTAATTTATTGAGATGCACCTGTATATGACTCAGGCTCGTTTAGACTCGTTAACCCAGGGAACTTCCTCCTGTTCTCGGCCCAGTCTCGTTGCTTGGCAACAGCAGTGGCCCAAAATAACCCGCTGATGACCGAAATAATCTGGAGATGACAAAAGCAGACACAAAATGTCTCCACGCTCTGATGTTCTGATGTAATATTCTGCTATACCGTTAAACACTGACATACTGAGTCATGTGTTTATACTGTACTCTTACAATACAACCAACCCACTACAATTACAACTAATTATTGCATTAGTACAATTACTACCATGTTTTTTTTCTATATTATTATAAGGCACTGAAAGACTGCAATAAAATCATACGCTAGTTAATTATGGCCTATTTCTGAGATTTATATATATATATATATATTTGATGAATAGAAAGTTCAAAAGAACAGCATTGATTTGAAATAGAAATCTTTTGTTCATGTCATGTTTATTGGTGGTTTTCATATCTCTAATGGACTTGAGGTTAATGTTTAATGACTATTAACATCCATTCAGGCAGTTTTACACACTCTCATTTGCAGAAATACTCCCCTGGTGACCCCTGACCTGTGGGGACTGATTAAACTTCATGTTATTTCAAAGGTTACAACAGAACAATTTATGAGAGAGACAGGAGAGTTCATGAACTATATCTGCACAATGTGTGTTGTGGTTTCATGGTTGTGTGTGATAGCACTAGTGGATAAATAACATTAGTGGGCACATGGTTGCCGGGATTGTTGCCAGGGAAATGACCTGGTTTTGTTCAGGAAAGCAGCATCATGACCTGCTGGAGACAGTTGCTAAGCAATATTTTCACCTTAGTAACCGCTCTCATCTGACTGGATCCCCACTGAGAGAGTCCAGACGGATCATCTCTGCGTGTGTGTGTGTGTGTGTGTGTGTGTGTGAATTTGACACTGAAAAATATGCTTAAGTCCTTCAATGTATTCATTTTATTTTATTTTATTTTATTTTATTATACACTCATAGATCAAAGTCCTTTGTATTAGTATTAAAATTCCTTTATTTTTTTTTTATTTTATGAAATGCTTATAGATCTAAGTCCTTCAAATTAAAATGTAATTGATTTTATTTTATTTTTATTTATTTTTCATTTAATGCTCATAGATTAAAGTTCTCCAAAGTAAAATTTTACACTTAAATATCAAAGTCCTTAAAATAAAAAATTTGATGTGTTTGTTTGTTTTAGAGTCCAGAGGCGGAACAGGAAGTGTGTGAGGTCACACATGAAGAGAGAGTGACGGACACACCAACACGAAGAGTTGGACGACCCGCTCGAAAACGCAAAACACCAGGAGTGAGTACTTCTGTACATACTGTATGCACAATAGGGTTGTGATGGTGAGGAAATTTTCCCACTGGTTAATCGTTGTGTGACAACACCGGTAATAACTGTATCACTGGGGGTTGGGGTTCATTGGAGTTTTCCCTCTTTTCCTTGCTGTCCTTTGCTTTTAAATAGCTTGTAAATGCCCGTTCGCATTTTACTTTCATTTTCGAATTAGCGTCAATTCGGCGTCAATTCACCGAACTCACTTATACTAAAAATAGAACTCACTTATATTAAACATAGAACTTTCATTAACAAAACGAAGAAAAATAAACCATGCTAATAACAAATAACTTACACAAAGTTTAAATATAAAAAACTGAAAATCTGTGGAACCAAATAGGCTAAATAAGAAACATAGAACGTTTATTAGCAAAACGAATAAGAAAGCTCGGAGGCACGGCATACACCTTGATGTAAAATAAAATAAACAAATTACACATAAATAAAGCAAAAATCAGCAAACACCAAATAAATAAGAAACGAATGTTAAAAAAAACCTCCAAAATCACCTTTGATAAATGGCAAAAGTCAACAGGCTTTTCAAAATCCAAAATATTGCCAAACAGGCGCTTTTGCATTTTATTTCAAAACTAAACCTTCCGCCATCTTTGTCTTGTCTTTCTCACCTCACTCTTGTCGGTCAGCTCGACTCACTCTCCTCACGTGATAAATGAAATCTGACTCCTGCTGTTGATCTGTGATGCGATTCGTTCGGCACGCTGCACTGAGCAGCCACGTTCAGTTTGTAATTGTATTGTCTGTTCTCAAACTGAACTAAATTATTTTTATTACAATAACAAATTAAAACAACGGTGGGAGTGGTGCCACGGTGGGCAAGGGCTGTAACCGGTGTTGCGGCTTAACACCGACTATCGCAGCCAGCCTAATGCACAACTATGGCACACACAAACACAACTTTAGAAAACATGCATGTTCAGTGGATAAATAATATATTTGCATAGCATGCTCATTGCCTTGTCTTCTGTATTTCATTGGTGTGCTTGAGAGCTGATTTCAATGTCTGTGAGCCATGATTGAAAAATGAGCAGCTGATCAAATAATGCATGAGACACCAGCTTCAGTTATGTGTGGCTGAGCTCTTCATGTGCTGATTTAAAGGAACAGTTCAGCCAAAAATGTTAATTCTGTCATTTACTCACCCTCATGTCATTCCAAACCTACATGTTGTTATTTTTTCCATGGAAAATGTTTGAAGAGTCTTTTCAAAGCTCTTTTCCAGACACTAAAGTTTGGGGTCAGTATGATTATTATTTATTATTATTTTTAAGAAATTAATACTTTTATTCAGCAAGCACACATTAAATTGATCAGAAGTAACAGTAAAGACATTTGTAATGTTTCAAAAATGTATTTTTCAAATAAATGCTGTTCTTTTGAACCTTCTCTGTTTCCACAAAATATATGAAGCAGCCCAACGGTTTTCAACTAATATATATATGTATATGTATATGTATGTATATATATATATATATATGTATATGTATATGTATCTGTATATGTATATGTATATGTATATATATATATATATGTTTGTGTGTGTGTGTGTGTGTGTGTGTTTGGTCACTATGAGTTTTGGTTTACTTTCATTTTAAATATTTCTTCTAAACGCCTTTTGTCTATAATGGAAAAAGAAAGTCATATAGGTTTGGAATGACATGACGGTGAACAATTTCCATTTTTGGCTGAAGTGTTCCTTTAATGGCAAGACTTGTCTTTGTCTTAAAGGGACAGTTCACTCTAAAGTGAAAATTATTTTCTCACCCTCAAGTTGTTCCAAACCTGTATGAGTTTTAATTTTATTTATTTATTGATTGATTTTTTTGGGTGAACTATCCCTTAAGTATTTTCATGATTATTGGTTAACTACAGTAGTTGTGAAACAACCAGAGACACACATCATGTATTTGACTATAATAATCAGTGTTAAACTCTATTTTAATTAAATTAATTCAGATAAAGATGTTAATTAAGTTAAAACCAAAAAAAAAACATATTACTCATGACATTTTTTCAGTAATGTCAGGGACAGTCCCTCTGCCCCACTAAAGCTGTGCCGCCAGGCGTTGCAGGCGTATGCGCGTGCAGGCGTTGCGCGTCCTGCGTGAGAAGGGTCAGTCAAATGCGCCCAAATATGAAAGCGGATCTCAAAAGAGGAAAACTGCCAAATATATAGTGGAAAGTCAGTCAAATTTGTTAAAAAAAATACCAAAGCTCGTGGCATATTTTAACGCAGGCCTAGGAGAAGATGCAAATTGCAAATGCTGGCAGTAGCTGAATACAGTAGGCTATAATTAATTTAAAAAAATTAGCTCCTTTTTTATCTTAACATAGTTGAGCTTGCATTTAGTTAGTCACCACACACTAGAACTGTGGATTATAATCATTTTTATGATGCATCGTGATGCTGATGTGCCGATGACAATTCTGCATAAATGTTATACATATTAATGTACTGTTTTATTGTAAATAATAGTTATATTAATAAATAACAGTTGCGTATGCCTTTGGAAGTAAAGCACTTAATTGCATCTGATGTTTTCAGATAATCTAACTAACTTCTTTAAAGCAAGATATCTGGACACATTTCGGTTGTTATGAAAAAAACATGCATGCATGAATGAGAAAATAATGCGGGATGTGGTTGATGTTAAAAGTAGGCTAAGCCACAAAAAAGATCTCAGTGTGTTACTCGCACTGTCTGACACCCAGCCGAAACGCTCGCACAGAAAGCCACATCTCAGACAGTATGCACTGAATTACTTTAAAATATATCTGTCTTGGCGAGTAAACATAGACGGGTATGTCTTACAACCTGTTAGATCTGTGATTTAGATCTTAATATAATACACCTGCTGCGTCATTAATGTTAATCAAACAACAAAAGAAAAGAGGGAATCTCTCGGGCTGGTGGTTCAAAATTTTACTTGCCCTGCAAAAAAAAAAAAAAGTGTTAGTTGTTTTTGATACCAAACTTTTAGATTTTCCAGTTTCGATACCACAGCAAAAACTTCTAGCCTAACAAATATAAAATTCAAACATTATTAAAGACAAGTGAAAAGTCAATAAATAAGAACAAATGAATTAATAGAACAAAGATACAAATTAAACAATGCTTTAGGTTTTTGGGTTTGTAGGTGTTCAGGCACAGAAACTAAATAATCAAATGGAAAATAACATTGCATATTCTACACTGTATCACGTCAATACAGATTAATCCTAAAGTGACGCTCTTCTATGTGTGCGCTGTACACAGAACACTGAATGGAGTTGATATTCTTGTCTTCTTGCACTTTAAAATCTCTTGAATGTTCAAATTGGCAAGGTGTATATTTGTCCGTTCAAGCGCAAGAAAACGCAAAAGAGAACTCCATTCAGGTTGTGCATCGTCAGAGACACTGCTCCCTGTGTGAATTAAAAAAAAAGACTTTATTCAACAATTTCCTCTCTTCCGTGTCAGTCTTCGACACGTGTTCATGAGAGTACCACGACGCATGTGTGCTCTCCTCACTGCTCTTCTTCCTGTATGCCAACAAATGCACTGCAAAAGACCCCTCTGTCAAGCTCCTGAAATGTGCAGATGACACTACCATCATCAGCATCATCCAGGACGGTGACGAGTCTGCTTATAGAAGCGAGGTTGAGCAGCTGGCTGTCTGGTGCAGTCACAACAACCTGGAGCTGAACACGCTCAAAACAGTGGAGATGATAGTGGACTTCAGGAGAAACCCCCCTGCACTCCCCCCACTCACCATCATGAACAGCACTGTAGCAACAGTGGAGTCATTCAGGTTCCTGGGCACCACCATCTCTCAGGACCTGAAGTGGGACACTCACATTGACTCCATTGTGAAAAAGGCCCAGCAGAGCTTGTACTTCCTTTGCCAGCTGAGGAAGCTCTACTCGGCCATCATTGAGTCCGTCCTGTGTACATCCATAACTGTCTGTTTTGGCTCAGTTACCAAATCAGACATCAAGAGACTACAACGGGCTGCTGAGAGGATTATTGGTCCCCCCTGCCCAACCTCCAAGAACTTTACATCTCCAGAGTGAGGAAAGGCTACGAAAATCACTTTGGACCCCACACACCCAGCTCACTCTCTCTTCGAACTGTTGCCTGCCTACAGAGCACTGAGCACCAGAACAGCCAGACACAAGAACAGTTTTTTCCTACAGGCTATATTCAGCCTGAACAATTAAAACTTTCATAACTATACATCGTCCATTATAACTGACACATTTATATATATATATATATATACAGTAGTGTGAAAAAGTGTTGGCCCCCTTCCTGAAATTTGTTTGATGATCTGAATCTTTTAAGTGTGACAAATATGCAAAAAATTTAAAAAACAGGAAGGGGGCCAACACTTTTTCACACCACTGTATATATACCATCTGAAAATTGTACATTTGTAAACGGCATAAACAGTACGCTTGTAAATAACATATCTGTACATTCATTAAAACAATTATATATGTTTTTCTCTATATTTCTACTTCTGTATTATATTGCATTATTTAATTTACTGTCTTTCTTATATTAGTGTTATATTTCATCTCTACTGTGTAATTCCTATGTATGTCACTCTGCACTATCATGTATGTTTGCACTGTGTCTGTACTTTCCTCTGCACTGGAAGCTCCTGTCACCAAGACAGATTCCTTGTGTATGTAATTGAACATACTTGGCAATAAAGCTCTTTCTGACTTCTGAGGAACAGGAAACTACAGTTGCAGCAGGCGGAAGTTTGAAGAGTGTGAGAGAGAGACAGACAGATACAGAGGGAGGTAGAGAGAGAAAGACGAGGTGCTGTAGCCTGCAGGTCTCTGATGATGGTAAGTTCTCATCAATGTCTTGCTAATTGTTTTAGATGAAATAATCGCATCTATCAGGGTTTGATCTGCGAGGCTTATGGTGAATGTTTGATAGGAAGGAGACCCTCATGCACAGATGCAGATACACTTGACTTGAGTTTGTTTCTCTTGATCTTAAAGGGGAGGTCCAATACTATTTCATGCATTCTGACTTATTTGCACTGTTAAAGAGTTGGGGTTTCATGCTAAACATGGCCAAAGTTTCAAAAAACGAGTTGGATGTATGACAGAGTATTTCTGTGCCAAATACACTCCTTCAGGGTTCGTATAAGTTTCGTAAAGTTTTTTTTATTTTTCTGAGTATGGCCCTGTATTACATCATAAAGGGCTGGGGATTCATTGTATGGGCACTTCTCCAGGAAGAGAGCGTGCACAAATCAACCAGAGCGAGAGCAAGAGCAGCCCAGCAACGTGCTTCATTCAGGTTACAGGAGTCACCGGCAGCGCAGCACAGGGCTTGCTCGAGAAGGATTTGTCTTTTTGTTTTTAGACTACAAAATCAACAATGTCACCAAAGAAGTGTGTTTTGTGGTTGTGAGGTTGTTTTATAAACAAAATTTAAGGCAATAAAGTTTTTGTTCCTGTTTTACATATATATTGATGTCACAGCTTGCAGACGTTCGCTATGCAAAAGCTTTGCGTGCTCGGGACTTTAGCTCTGCCCACGCCACGCCTCCAGGAGCTCGACTGCTTTCGGAGAGAAGCGTAAAGCGTAAAGTCTTTTATAAATCTGATAAAACTAAAGACTCTTTGGAGATATGATGGATGCAGTGTACTACTCTATAGGTACTCAAGATTAACATGAGATTGGCAGAAACTGTGTTATGTCCCCTTTAAAGGGATCCATCTTCATTTACTGACCCTCGTGTCAAAATTTTACATGGACTTTTCAGTGTCTGCAAAATGTTAATTATTTGATCAAAATAAGAGGAATCATACAAAATGCATATAAATTTACATATAGTTCACGAGAGAAAATAATAGTTGAATTTATAAAAATTACCCTGTTCAAAAGTTTATATAAGCTCGATTCTTAATACTGTTACCTGGATGATCCACAGCTGTTTTTTTTTTGTGATAGTTGTTCATGAGTCCCTTGTTTGTCCTGAACAATTAAACTGCCCGCTGTTCTTCAGAAAAATCCTTCAGCTCCCACAAATTCTTTGGTTTTCCAGCATTTTCTTTTTGCGTATTTGAACCCTTTCCAACTATGACTGTATGATTTTGAGATCCATCTTTTCACACTGAGGACAACTGAGGGACTTACATGCAACTACTACACAAAGTTCAAATGCTCACTGATGCTGCAGAAGGACACATGATGTTTTCACACATTCCACTGATCATCTTGGTTTTCATCTTATACGTTGCACTGAATATACTATTACGAATGTGCCGTTCAATACCAGAGTTTCTAAGGGCCTTAAAAGGGTCTTAATTGACCTTTTCACCAAAATCAGAGCAGAAAGTCTTAAATTCATGAAATCATAGCATTAAATATTGCATGCACTGCAAAAATGCTAGTCTTCCTCAGTATTTTTGTCTTGTTTTCCGGTACAAATATCTAAACAGTCGAGATACATTTACTTGAGATGCAAAATGAAGATATTAAGCCTTGTTTTTATTTTATTTGGGAGTTTATGCTTAAAACAAGAACAAATATCTGTCAACGGGGTCAGAAAAATAAACTTATTTTCCTATTGAAAAGGTCATTTTTCTGACCCCACAAAAACTATCTTTGTTTTGATGATTTTCTTAATGGCTCCTTCAGTTTATTCCTTAAATAATTTTACGTGGACTTTAAAAAGTCTTCAAAAGTCTTACATTTATCTAAAAACCTGCACAAACCCTGCAATACTACTCGCACATGCCTTTATCATATCAACAGACTGGTTGTACGTTATCATTAATAACAAAATCGCAAAAGTGCCAGGCAAAAAGACTACAAAATTTACTACAGATGTCTAATAAAGTCATCACAGCCGTATCTTGATCTAAACACACAGAAGGCTTGTGGGAATTGCAGTGTTTATTCAGTAAATTAATGGTGAACACACTCCTTCGCCTCAGGGCTTGTTACCCGCTTTAATGTACAGTTGCTCCTCTGAACGATTTGATCCATTTCATCTTCTGGATCTTTCCCCGACCATGGAGTTTTGGTTGTGCAATATATTCCGCTTCAGGCCAGAAACATACACTCTTAAAAATAAAGGTGCTTCAAAAGGTTCTTCAAGCGATGCCATAGAAGAACCATTTTTGGTTCCACAAAGAACCATTCAGTCAAAGGTTCTTTAAAGAACCTTTGACTGAATGGTTCTTTGTGGAACCAAAAATGGTTCTTCTATGGCATCGCTTGAAGAACCTTTTGAAGCACCTTTATTTTTAAGAGTGTACTCCACACAAGTACTCAAGCACAATGAATGCTTTGATGAACGCTTGCAACCTGCTCAGTTTGTGTTTTGACCCATTTTGGATGCATGAGATTGAGCTTCTGTGGCTAGAAGCATATGCATTCACATACTCAAGAGTATATGTCTTTATTCTATGAAAATGAATGTAGAAAGTGTGTGCGCTTGGGTTTGAAACACCTGCGATTTATAGAGTTTCTCACCTCTTGATTAAAGACCTCAGCGGCTCTCAAAGAGAGTCGCCAATCTCTAATGAAACCACTAATGTGTGTGCGACTGCACTGATTCATATGTGCATGCAAGTGTGTTTGGCATCTATTAACTCACAGACAGCAGTAAAACTCACACCGGCCCTCGTCATACTGAACCAAAGAGACTTTTATCGTTCAACAAAGTTAACAGGCAGCGTCACGCTGTAGGACGTCCCAGTAGCCCCCAAATATTTGAGCGATTTCCTGCTTAATTTCTTCATTGATGGATGATAAAGTCAACGTAAAATCAACAATAACCCTGTTTACTTTTTTAATGCATATTATTTTGAAGAAATAATCAATTCCTGATAAATAAAAACATGTTTTGTCTCATTGAATATCCTGTTTCACTCAGAAATACATCACATTATGGCAGTAAAATGGTTTTGAATGCTGTTTCATGTTGACTAAGTGTTTATAAAGAGGTAAATGCTTATGAAGGATTTGCAATACATCTTTAAAATGCAATGCAGAAAGAATAGACCGTGATCTTTAGCTGATCCGTGACTCCATTAGCATTAATGTGTCACTGCACCTCAATATATGTGTCTATGCACATTCACATTTAACATCTAGTAATATTACTACTAATAATTATTAAATAAATCATTTTTATAATTATTTTATTTGACAATAATAATCATATTTATTATTATTATCTTTAATTATTACTTATTCTTAAAATATTATTAAAATAATATTTATTATACTGATTAAAATGTTTACAATAAGAATAATTATTATTACTATTATTCATTTTTAATGCTAATTAAAAGAAATGAGGATAGAAATAATTACTCTCATTCCCGCTATGACACACGCATCTCACACAGTGACATTTCTGTTCATGCCGAGTTATTCTCTCTGTCTTCTGACAGGAGGATATTTGTGGGCGTGTGATTGAGGGCGTGACTTGTATGAAACAGGCGGGCTGTAACGGTGAAGCAGAGAGTCGGGTTTCACAGAAAAACCTGGAGCAGAACGACTCCTCCCCTGACTCCACAGACACACCCCCCGGTGCGGACGGAGACTCCACCCCTTCCACTCCACGGAAGAAACGAGGGCGGCGGAAACTCGAGCACCCAGAGCAACGTGAGTCACCTGTCTATAGTTCAGTCAGTCTGATTGATTTCATATGTAAAAATGTGTCAGAAAATACAATTTAGAATGCGATGAAACAATGGCACGAGGTGCTATTGCGGCGTACATTAATTCTCCATTTAGAATAGTCTTTCAGGAACAATTTAGTAAATACAATAATACACTCTTCAACTGTCAACATGTTTATAATTAGCTAGCTGAATAATAAATATTTGGTTTAATGGCACAAACATTTGACATTAGCTATATCGCCCCCTTAAGTACCTCCACATTAATGAAGGTTTGCATCAGTATTTTCCATCTGTCTGTTTTTTTCTTTTAGCCTTGTTTTCTTCTAAATGACCTCTGTGTTTGTCTTTCAGACGTTGAAGAGGACGACACCAGCAGCGGAGATGTGAGGACTCAAAACACAGTAAAATATTGTCAAATGAGCAATGTAATACAATTTGAGAATTACATTTCCGAAATGTATAAATATACAGGACTAGGGCTGCATCATTTAGGCAAAAATTTTATTGCAATATTTGTTTTTTTATAAAAATTTATTTACGTATTTATTTAAAAGCTCCAGGTTGCTGTGCTTGTTTGTGGTTTAAGAAATTGTGGTTTATATTTCAATATGATTATATAATTATAATAATTTGTATTATTACTAAATAAAAATATTAAACAAAATAAGAAATATTACTATTGTCAAAAAGTATTTAAGCAAAAGAATATTTACAGTAAGCAGTAAAATTACAATCCATTAATTAATTAATTTTTTAATTTGTTCCAAGTTTGCAATGCTTGTTTATAGGGCTACGCAATTTTGCCAAATTTGTGATTTATTTATCAATAGTACTATAAAATGGTAATAAAAAAAAAATATATAATATTAATAATAACTATTAATATTATTCCTATCATTACTAAACAAAAATATGAAACAAAATAACAAACATTGCTATTATAATGTTTCACTGTAAAATAAAAAGGAGTGTTTAAGCAATAAAATATAATAATAATAATATTTTATTTTACAGTACAACTGTAAAATTACAATACTAATATTTCTTAATTTCTTTGCTTTCAAATGTTAAAGCATTAAGCTTATATTTTGCCAGAAAACTGCAGGCAGCCCTTAAAGCTTCTCTTTTGTTGACAACAGAAAGTTATAAGCGCTTCTTATTACAAGTTTGGGAAGATGGTTGGCGCACATTGAGTTCCCAAATGCATGTTACAATTGACCCAAACTCCCAAAGCAAATTTACTGTGAAACGAGAAACTGAAATGACTGTATCATGAGCACAGTGTTGCGCTTGCCCCTGATACGTGCAGTGCATATTTTCATATCTCGATTTCGCGAGTTTCATGGAGAACTGGTTTAAAGGGGTCATATGATGCGATTTCAAGACGCTTGAGGTATTCGGCCAATCACAACGCACTAGATAGCTGGCCAATCAGAGCACACCTCGCTTTTCAGACCGATGAGCTTTGTAAAAATCGACGCGTTTCAGAAAGGCGGGGCATAGAGGAGAAACAATAATGTACAGTATGTGGAAAATAATGTGTTTTTTTAACCTTAAACCGCATAAACATTTCATTACACCAAATACACAAAATAATGTTCTTTTTAGTAACATCATATGACCCCTTTAAACTTAAACTAATTGTTATCTGGAGCCAGTCGGGTGGTTCAGAAAGGTCTAGTTAATACATCACACAGAGTTGACCGTCTGTGATTGATTAATCTTTTCCTGCTCAGCGTATGAGAACATGCCGATGGAACGTTGCAGGCTGTGTTTATGTGAGAGACATGAATGTGTAAAGCCAAAACCTGGCCTGAGTGGTACTGTAAGTCGTAACATGCCAAAAAAATGTGTTTACAGGCTGTTGAACATGTTACGGGTGTTTTATAAGGGCTACGTATGCACTGTAATTCACAAACATACACAGAGTAAATAAAGTCGCCTACAAATTGGTTTATGCTGCAAAATGTGACATTTTCTTATCCATTAAATGAGTTTCGGTATCACGTCAGCACTCTAAAACCTACAGATCGCCTCAAAAAAAACATGTAAAAGTCATGAAAGCATGTGCTATTTGAGTCTGTTATTCACAGTGTGTGTTCACAGAGAGTCGTGTTTGTCTTGTAGAGCGACGGGGGTCGTCTGAGGGGCAGGGAGGGCTGGGACATCAGTCTGAGGAGACGTCCCGTACAAAGAGAGACCTTCCAGGCCGGAGACCCCTATCACATCAGCCGCAGAGAGAAAGAGGAGTTGCTCGCCCGCTGGAAGAAAGAGAAGGTCAGAGAGACTCCAGAAGTACACTACAGTTATTTACAGTCTATCAAAATCTTATACAGTATAATGTTTGTTACATTGATGTGAGTTGGGCGTCAATTGTTGTTTTTCATTACTTCTATGTTATTAGCATTTGTTTCTTTTAAAATACATTGATCTTGTCATGAAAATAGCCATAGATGCTGGAATGGCAGTAAAAATAAACAAATAAATATATAAATGTAGTCTATCAACAGCATCTGTGTTAAAGCCAATTAGAGCTAAATAATTTTGATTTATGCCTTAATAAAAAAAATTTAAATCATGGCACTTACAATGGAAGTAAATGAGCTGTGCACTTTAAGATGTTTTTAATTATTCAATATCTATATTGGAGGAAGCACTGAAAAATGTACATTATGTACAAATGTGTTGATTAACGATATTCCTTTTATGGTTTTACAACTTTATTTCCCCCAACCCCCAGAGAAAATACTAGAGAAAAAATGTGAAAATAAAATAATAATAATGACAATATTAATATTATTAATATTATTATTAATTATTATTGTGCTGGGTGTATGATAGGGCTCCTTGTGTTTATAGATTTGAAAAACTGTATTTTAATGGTTTTTTTTTGCATTGCATTATGTACTTCCACTGTAAGTGCGTTACTGTAACCACAAGTAACAAATCAAAATAATCTTCTCTGGTAATGGATGTTATGCCACAAACGCTTGTGTTGAATCCAGAACATTCCTTTAGAGACAAAGAGGGAAAGTGTTCAGTGGCTGCTGTTGAATTTGATACGAGTTGAGTTAAGGATGTATGGAAAACTCACATCCTTCAGTCAGAGCTGCTGAACGATACAAATGAGTGTGTGTTATAAGGAATGGAAAGCAATTTAGTACAATGTTGAGTGGTATGTATTCAAATGTTTTTTTTTGCAGTGGATGCCATAGAAGAACCATTTTTTGGTTGCCTAAAGAACCTTTCAGTGAACAGTTCTAAAAAGAATAATTTTTTCTTAGTGTGAAGAACATTTTAAAATTCCACTATAAAGAACCTTTTGTGGACTGGAAACGTTCCATGGATGTTTAAGGCTCTTCATGGAGCCATCAATGCCACTAAAGGGCCTTTGTTTTTAAGAGGGAATAACTCTTAGCTCTGTTTTAACCATGTTATGGTGACCTGATAATGGGTAATATTAGTTAAAATGCTCAAAACAGCCTGAGTAATAGATAACAAAGGTGGTCTGAATGAGTGTTTTGTGTGAAAGTATAAAGTATAAAAACGTAAAAAAGTATAAAAGCGTGTGTTTATCCGGGGCCGCGGGGGTTTTCAGGGACTGCCGTGTCCTCGGCTCACCCAGCGAGGGCTGTTTCTCTTGGGTCGCAGAGATCCCTCCCACTGCAGCCTCTGGATCTCATCAAACTCTGGCGCAGCACTGCTACAGCGCTTCACAAAGACCTGATTACAAACGTGTGTGTGTGTGTGTGTGTGTGTGTGTGTGTGTGTCTGTTTGAGAGAATCGCACATGGTGTGTGTGAAGCGGTTTAGTTTATGAAGACACTATAAAGAATAATGTAATTATTTGTAGTAGTGTTTTCTTTTATATTTCCTTAAGGAGTTTCCTCTGTGTGTGTGTGTGTGTGTGTGTGTGTGTGTGTTTGTGTTTGTGTTTGTGTCTTGCTCTCTCTTTCATTCATTCTAAGGTCTTAAATTGTGGCTTAATTGAACCTTTCCATGTTTCTCAGTAACAATAACAATCAAAATGTCTAATAAAATCCTTCCCGGTGAAGAAATCAATCATTACCTAATCTAAACCCCCCCCCCCACCAACACCCC